CTGGCGCGCCTCCTCCTCGGCCTCGCGCTGCTCCTCCTCGAGGTCGCGCTCGAGCATCTCCTCGTACTCGCCGTCAAGGCGCTCCTCTGCCAGCCGGCGCTGGCGCCACATCTCGAGGTACGCCTGCTCCTGCGCCGGCGTCGTCCCCAGCCAAACCGGTGGCGCGGACACCCACTCGCGCACCATTCCATTCCAGGAGAAACGCGCGATGGGCTTGGGCTCCGGCTCCGGCTCCGGCTTGATGGGGGACGGCAGGGCCACCGGCCGCACCACGCTGTCGCCCGCCGCGGAGAGGGCAAGGGCCTGCGCCATTGCCGCCTCGTAACAGGCCTCCTCTTTCGCCTCTGCCGCCTCCGCTCGGCGCCGCTCGTCCTCCTCGCTCTCCCGGTAGACGGCCGCAAGGGCCGCCTGGTCCTCCTTGCGGACGACGAGCGGCGTTGGCGGCAACCTCCGGTCGACCTCGCGCACGCCCCGTCGTCTCGCCTCCTCGTGCTCGAAGGCGAACCACCTCGCCCAGTTGGGCGAGTCGGTTGCGTAGGCCGGGTCGGCGTGCTGCTCCGGCGTCAGTAGCGCCCGCCGGCGCCGCACCTCCTCCGCGTGAGCACGAGCCGACCGCGGTGCCGCCGCCACTGGGATCCTATCCGGATCCAGATGCCAGTCGTGCGGCAGCGTCACGTCCGGATACGGCAGAGGCTGGCGGTTCTGCCAGTGCCACTCCGCCTGGTGCACTGGCACGTTGACGCGCTGCCTTTGCCGGCGCGGCGCCGGCGGAGGTGGGAGGAACTCGAAGGGGAAAGGGGTGGCGGGTGCCTTGCCCTTGGCCTTGCTACCGCTGGCGCCAGAGAAGAGGCCCATCTCGCTGTGGTTGTGGTGGCTAAGATTTGCCGGCGACGAGGGAGCAAAGGTGGGCAGATGTGAATGGCGAGTGTGGATGACGACGGCCCCGCCGCATGGTCGGCTTAAAAAAGGACGAGCGCCGTCGCTGACGCATGGGCCCGTCGTCATAAATTAAGCTGACCGCGTGGGCAGCGGGTAGTTGGACGGCTGTCATGTGGGGGCGCGGCGGATAGCGAGAGGGCGCGCGAAGCGTCCGTTCGGCGTCCGCGCCGACGCATTTGTGGCGCAAATTTGGCCGCAAATGCGTCGGCGCGGACGCGACACGGACATGATTTTGGATTTGGGTCGGGCGTTGGGCCGCCACTTTTGTCCGCGCCGACCCAAACAGACGCAGCCGGAGGAAATGGGTCGGTCCTTTGGAGTTGCTCTTAGCACACAAAAGAGGAGACGATGAGCACCAGAAAACATTTTACATTATTAGAGGTTGGATCGAGAAGAGGCGAGAAGCAAAGAAGCCAACAAATTGTGTGGTGATAAAAGGAAGAGAAGGCTTCAAGCGACGGCCAGATAAGAAGCAAGCTCCTCCGTCCGTCCATTGCCTCCCACAGCCGCGCATCATCCATCCATCCGTTCCACTGCGCCATGGCGCTCATGCTCAGCCCGGCCGCGACCTTCCTCCCCGTCGCCACCGGCAAGCCCACCGCCACCGCCGCCACCACGAGGAGCCTCCTCTTCGGCACCACCAGCAGCACCAAGGGCAGAGGCGCGCGCAAGGTGGTGGCGATGGCGGACATCCTGGGGGACTTCGGCGCGCGGGACCCGTTCCCGGAGGAGATCGCGAGCAACTTCGGGGAGAAGACGCTGGGCAACGTGGACACGCTGCACCGCATCCTCATCCCCACGCTCTCCGTGCTCTCCCTCTCCCGCGTCCCGCTCGACGCCCACCCGGCGCCGCTCTCCGAGGAGGACGCCCGCAGGCTGCTCTTCAAGGTCGTCGGATGGCGCCTCCTCTTCCCCGGCAAGGGCGACTCCGACGTGCTCAAGCTCGAGTGCGTCTGGAAGGTCCGCGACCAGGCCTGCGGCGACGAGCTCATCGCCAGGATCGGCAAGGCGCTCGACGGCGCCGGCCATGCCCCCGCCGCGCTCCTCTTCGAGCCGCCCAACCAAGTCAGGGCACAGCTCTACACGCCCTCCGTAGGTCAGTCGGCGTTAACCTCTTCTCTCTTCTGCTTCTGCCCTGCCACAATGAACTGTGGTGTGCTTCTCCATGAACGATGGATTCATCGGTGAACTGAGCTGAATTGAACTGAAATTTTATGCAGGTGGGCTGAGCGCCAACGACTTCATCATCGCGGCGAGGATCGACCAGATCAAGACCAAAGATCTTCTCCCAAAGAAGAGGGTCTGGGCATGCTAATCCATGGCGTCTTGTTCCTATTTCTTTGCATTGCATACATACACAGTTTTGTTTCATGGAAAGTTTGTAGCTCTACTGCTAGTGTTCGATGATGATGATAGCGACCGCCATTTTGTCCAATCAAATGATTTCTCAACTTGCTGGGTTCTTCCGAATGCGAGGCATGATTACAACAACGCTAATATACTTACAAAAATGTCAAGAAACGAGATCACCGTCGTGTCAAAAGCTAATTAGACAGTACTCTACTCAACTGTACTTGCTGAAGAAAGGAAAAAAAAAGGCTATGGTGGGGTCACTTGATGAGGTTGGTGATGGCGCCGGCGATGATGGCGATCTGGATGCAGTCGACGGTGTGCAGGGCCAGCGGCTGGGGCAGGGTCACGCCGGCGGCCGCGAACGCGGCGTTGCACAGCTGCGTCTGCGCCAGGGCCTCGTCCAGCCTCTGCTTGGCCGCGGGGTAGGCGTGGTTGCTGATCTGGTCGTGCGCGCCCGCGAACCACATGCCCACGTCCTTGTAGAGCGTGCCGCACCTGGCGAGCGCCGGCTTCACGCGCACGTTGGGGTCGGCGGCCTCCTGGGCTTTGACGTCCGCGGCGGCGAGGTTGGCGTTGTCGACGCCGACGAGCGAGGCCACCTTGGCCAGGCCCCAGGCGTCCGCCGCCTCGAGGCTGCCGCGGTGGCTGCCCAGCTTCGACATGCACAGGTCCACGTTGACGCGCACGTCGCTGGCCGCGGCCGCCTTGCACGTGTCTGCCACCGCCGCGTCGACGCTGCGGGCGCCCAGGATCAAGGCCGCCACCGCCAGCACCGTGGCGGCGAGAGCAGGCGTCGTCGTCGTCGATGTCTTCATTGATTCGAAACTCTTCTTGTTTGCCAAAAATAACTTGTTAAAATTATGAGGGAAGCAAAAGCAAAGCTAAATAAGGATGAGGCTGGCATGGCAGAGCGGAGGGGAGCCATTATCGGAGGCTTGTGCCCTGCCTGGCGATGCCCATGATGGCACCTTAATATTTTCCAATCCCCATTCTTGGACCAATTCATTTATCCACCACTGGGCTATGTATAGACCCAAGAAGAAGCTCAAGAACTTTCTTGCTGAGAAATCACAGTATACTAAGACAAGGCAAATATTTCTTTAACAGAATTTGGCGAGCAAGCACTGTAAGAAGAAGAACAGCATTACTGCACTATCAGCTACTATCATAGTTACAGAAAAATCGTCGCGACGGCGGGGAATGGAACTGAATTTTGATGCGAGCGGGTCGTCAGTGATCACCAAACATGAGGTTGTTGATGTGATGGATGCTCATGTCCGAAATGGGCTCGATCGGCCTCTCCGCTTCTTCTTCCTCCTCATCTCCTTGCGCCGTCGCGGCATCCACATGAACCGCGGCGGCGGCGCCGGGGCGTTCGCGGCTATACTCGTCTGGATGGATGTAAATGATCAAATGAGCAACAACAAGTGGATGAAAGGTGAGCAAACTAACTACAAATTGAGCGCATCAATCAATGTCGCCGGAGAAAGTGGTTACCGAAGATGGTGGAGAAGGAGGTGGGGGGAGGGGTGGCGACGAAGTTGGAGCCGAGGTAGGCGAGGAGGGAGAGGGCGAGGGCGACCACGGCACGGCCAGCGCCCAGTACTTGGTGGGGTAGTAGGTGATGCCCAGCGACCGGAGGGCCGGCTCCGGCGCGTAGGCCCACGCCAGGTACACCGCCGTCGCCGTCACCACGGTGATGGACCCCACGAACCCGTACACCTCCGACGGCTTGGGCCCCGACGCCTCCCTCCCCCGCCGAGGCGGGTTCCGCTCCCGCCCCCGCTCCCGCTCCGGCCGACCGAACTGCGGCCGCCGGCTCCGCAGCAGGCTCACCGTCTGCCGCGGGCTCCGCACCACCAGCAACGCCGACGCCGACGGATCCATCCGATCTGAGGAGCAGGCGAGACAGAGTGACAGAGAGAACGACGGGCTATTTGGGCTCTGCGGTGGGTTTGATCTCAGGCCTCAGGTCAGATGGGCCCTGCAGCGGCCCGCCAAGGGGGGAAAAGGCCGGAGGAGGAGGGGGAGAAGACAGAAGAGGGAGGACGGAGCGGAGCATGGCGCGGCGGACGGGGAGGAGCCGGCCGGAGCCGCGGTGGGCCGAGCCGCCGCCGGGCCTCTTCCCGGCCGGCGTGCAGGACTTCCTCCGCCTGCTCGCCGTGCTCGCCATCGCCGCCGCCGTCGCTGCCGCCTGCAGCGTCCTCAACCGCCGCCCCGCCCCCTTCTGCGACTCCGACGACCCCTATTCCGCCGCCTACGGTGAGCCGTCGATTCCCCCTTGCTCGAGCTCAGAAAAAGAACCCCCCTTTGCTTGGTTCAAGTTCAATTACTTACCATGAGAAGCAAATCCCTTTGTTAATCTTGTGCTGTGTTTGCTTGTGCAGATTCGTGCGAGCCCTGCCCGGAGAACGGCCGGTGCGTCGACGGCGAGCTGCGGTGCGTCGAGGGGTTCAAGAGACGCGGCAGGGTGTGCGTGGAGGACGGCCTGCTCACCCACACCGCCAACAAGATCGTACTGCCCTGCTGCCCTGACCTAACCTGACCCCATTTCTCTTGCCTACATCCACATCCACATGATTATACACATTATCATTAACCTCTACACAACCTACTTGCAGTCAGAGTTGCTCCAGCACAGAATCTGCGATGAACACGCCCGTGTGCTGTGCGGCCAGCCCGGCAAGATCCTGGTATTGCCTATTGAACTACTCACTTCTTCAGAACAGTTATAACCATCATCACATAGTAATCCTGTTATCTCACTTTCAGTTCCAACAACATGACATCTCAAGTATGGCTGACGAGCTGTTATCCAAGGATGCCGCCCGCCTAAGCGACGATAGAATCAGAGTCGTAAAAGAGAGGGTGCTGCAGAGCGCACACGGCTTCTTGGAGACAACGTCGACTTATGACAAGTATGCGTCATCACAACCTCTTTTGCCCTCAATGTGGTACATGTTATTAGATACCTTGGCAGTTGCTGGGAACTCACTCTAATTTTCTTCCGTTTAGAGTCCAAGCGTTTAAATGTCCAGAGCTGGCCGCGGAGCTTCATAGGCCACTGTCTTGTCAAGCTCGTCAATGGATCTCTAGCAATATCGTCTTCGTGATCACCTCCTGTGTCTTGGTATGTTTGTAACATTACTGTCTTAGAAGGATCCACTTAAACGCAGTTCAAATGATGATAAAACCTTAGTCTGCAGCACTGCTCCGTATTCTGTGGAGCATTTACCAGAGACGGGCATTGTCAAAGAGAGCCGAGCAAATATATGAGCAGGTGTGATTTTCTTACTCTGCTTTTTCATTCCTTCAGGGGTTTATTCCATGAAGTATCATCTGTTCCAGATGTCTGCATTACAATGATGCAATGCAATGTGTTATTGGTAAATGCAGTATGTTGTGCAGTGCCATGTACTATTGGTAAACACGGTAGGCTGCGGGTCGTTGTTTTTAAATTATCTGATTTATCCCCACTGCCACTATATCCCTGAAATAGCGGACACAGGACAATGACCTCTACACAACGGCCGCCTGTAGTAGTTTACTGCCTGGTAGTTTGTACGGTTTTATCTCTCAGCGCTCTCATTGCCTGCTACAACCTGCGGTGCCCCAGTACTAATACATTTCAGAGTTCTATATGATTCCTTTGTTGCATATTTTGAATCATTAATCCAGGACTTGATATAAACCATTTCAATCAAATTTGATTTATTTGAATTTGGATTTCTACTGATATATCCAAGCGTATTGCTCCAACTACGTTATCACTATCCTCAATCCGACATGGAAACTCTCTGCTCCTATGCTTCTGCAACACGCTATTTGAAACAAGGATACTTCAACTCACCGCTATGAGCAAGTTAAATTTATGTGGATTGATAAATAACAAAATAGAGAATGTACGTGCTATAACCTTTATCTGATTTCTGATCTTGTTTGATTGAGTGGCTATAGTGCCAGCATTCATTTTGGTGCAATTACTAGCACTTCCTCCACCTGCTCCTCTAGCACCCATCCCTCACGTGTGACTGCGTGAGGGGGTGGTGAAGTGGAGAGACGTGTACAGTTTTGTTGTGTATCCAAAGTTTTTTTGGGGGGAATTATTTACTGTTGCATTTACATTTTCCCTGCTTTTTATGACTTGTATTGAAATTTTATAGGTATGTGAGATCCTTGAAGATAATGCCATAAGTGCTAAGATTGGCAACTCTGAATGCGAGCCTTGGGTGGTCACCTCCTGGTTGCGTGATCATCTACTGTCTACCCGAGAGAGACGGAACACTTTGTTGTGGAAGAAGGTATTTCTGTAACAACATATCTGATATGCCGCTTAATTATGCATCCGCTGATTTATATTGGTTAGCACTATCCAATTTTAATGATGGAAAGTTGCACGGAGTTACTGTTTTTTTTTGTGTGTGATTTATAATTGTTACTATCAAAGGCCAGACATTGGTACTCTCCATATACGGCAATCAAACCCATTTTACTTTTTCCTTATTGAACTTGCATGACACTCTCCGTATATGGCGATCGAACTAATTTTCGTTTTCGTTACTGAACTTGTATCTTGGCACAGGTGGAAGAGTTGCTACTGGAAGATTCTCGCATAGACCAGTATCCAAAAGTGATCAAGGGAGAGGCCAAAGTTGTCTTAGAGTGGCAAGGTACAGACATCCCCCCTCCCTGCACCATTCTTCATGGATTAGAAGTATCAATCGGTAGCTATTTTACCGAATGCCTTTGCTCTTTTCCTGCCACAACATTCGGCGCTGCTGCTTCTTATTTTCGATGAATATGTGTGTGCACCGGTAAGATAGTCACCGGATGTTATGTTGTTGCAGCCAGCGGGTCGCTGAGCGGCAAGATTAAGAAGATGCAAGGCGCAGCAGGGAAGGCAAGGAGCGGCAGCGTCGGCGCCATCAAACTTGCTGAAGAAATATGTGGCAGCAGCATCAGCAGCAGCAGAGACAAGGAGCATTGTTCTTCAACTAGCAAAGAAGCAACTAATCCTTTCATGTAATCAATCCAATCACGTTGAATACATCTTTGATGAATGTGTGTAGATGACACGATGATCAACATAGGGATCTTATTTATGTCAGCATTATTAGTTAGCAATGTCGATCGATGAATGTCGGGTGGTTTCTTTTGCCTCTGCCCCCTGAAGAACAAAACAGAACAGATGTTGTATATGTATGAATGAATGTAGTGAGATGATGATTCATTGGAAGATGCTGCTGACGGAGCAGTCGTCGTGGACGCGCCAGATGGTCTCGCCGAGGAGGTTGGCGACGGAGAGCACGGTGAGCTGCGGGAAGCGCTGGTCCGGCGGCACCGGGACGGTGTTGGTGATGATCACCTCCTGGAAGAGGCCGCCGGAGAGCCTCTCGACGGCGGGCGGGCTGAGCACGGCGTGGGTGCTGCAGGCGTACACCGCCCTGGCCCCCTCCCTGTGCAGCAGCTCGGCGCCCTTGTGCATCGTCCCGGCCGTGTCGATCATGTCGTCCACCATCACGGCCACCTTCCCCCTCACGTCGCCGATGAGGTTCATCACCTCCGCCTGGTTGTGGCCCAGCCGCCGCTTGTCGACGATGGCGAGGGGCGCGTCGGAGAGCTTCTTGGCGAAGGCGCGCGCCCTGGCGACGCCCCCGACGTCGGGCGAGACGACGACGACGTCGTTGGGGCAGATGGTCTTGCTGGCGAGGTAGTCGAGGATGACGGGCTGGCCGTGGACGTGGTCCACCGGGATGTCGAAGTAGCCGATGGACTGGCCGGAGTGGAGGTCGCAGGCGAGCACGCGGTGCGCCCCGGCCTCCGTGATGAGGTTGGCGACGAGCTTGGCGGCGATGGACTCGCGGCCCTGCATCTTGCGGTCGGCGCGCGCGTAGCCGAAGTAGGGCACGACGGCGGTGATGGTCTTGGCGGAGGCGCGGCGGCAGGCGTCCACCATGATGAGCAGCTCCATGAGGTTCTCGTTCGCCGGCGGGCAGGTGGGCTGCACCAGGAACACGTCGCTCCCGCGCACGCTCTCCTGCAGCTGCACGTACAGCTCCCCGTCCGCGAACCGCTTGATCTTGATCCGCCCCAGCTCCAGCCCCAGGTAGCAGGCGATCTCCTCCGCCAGCGTCGGGTTCGCCGTGCCGGAGAAGATGCGGAGCCGGCTGCCGCTTCTGCCGCCGCCGTCCTGCACGGGGAGGCGCAGCGGGAAGCGCGGGTCGGGGGGTGGGTGTAGCAGCGGGTTGTGGTCGTACGTGCCGCCCGTGCTGCTCGCCCTGCAGCTCCACCTCCGGCGATGGTGACGGCGAGAAGGGGGAGGAGATGGCGGTGAATGGACGGCGGCGAGGTCGGGTGGGGAGGAGGAGGAGCAGCAGAAGCAGGTGGCCATGGAGGCGGAGGCCATCATGGCATGGCAGAGCAGAGGAGAGCCGTCTGGATAAGGGAGAGAGAGAGGGGATTAATTCCCATTCTTTATTAGTGGGCCGCCACGCGACGGAATTGCCTCCTCGTGCGAAGCCCATGAATGAATGCGGCCCTTCCAGCCTGCCGGGCTTCCTCGTGCCTTTTCTTTTTCTGGCCTCCTCCTACTGATAGATCAGGAGAGAGCAACACAGAGAGAGAACGGCGAGCGGCCACCCGGGGAGGCCGCCGCCGCCGCGTGCATTTCCGGCATGACGACTCCGGCGTCGTCCAGTAATCCTCATGCAGGTATTCTGTTGACCTTGTTGTGACTGATGCAAATTTCAAATTTACCTCAATTTCATACTCTAAAGTTACAACCCTCTGATTTTTTTTACGAAATCCATGTGCATAGCTCCTTCACTTCCATCTATCTATATGCAGTTTGATCTTACTATACTTACTGCAAGCAAAGCGAGCAAAGTACACATCCACCACTGACACAAGTTCATAGATAAAAGCTAGAGTATCCAGGCATTCAGATTGCCTTTATTTTTTTCACCACCTGGTTGCTGTGTTCTCTTCCAGTTCCAGCCTTCCAGGAGGCTATATGTAGCAAGTTCTTGACACAAGTAAACCCTAAGACAGCAGCCGGATGGCCTTTATTTATCATCACCTGGTGTACTGTCCCAGGTGGAGGATGTACATGCACTACTGTTCCAGGTGCAGGTTGTACATGTACTCTACTACGCATACACACACAGCAAGCTCACTTGATCGGCCCGACGGCCGCCACCGCCGCCGCCGCGGGCTTCGCCACCCCCCTGTACCTCTTGGCGAGCAGCACGAAGAGGGCCAGGTCGGCCGCGTTGAGCGCGGCGATGAGGAAGAAGAACCTGTCCACATGCCCCTGGTTGAGGTTCTGCGGTATCCACCCGGCTTGGCCCCCGCTGCGGCTGCCCGCCATCACCAGCGACACGATCAGGCTGTTGGCGTAGCTCCCGGCCGACATGGACGCCCCCGACATGGCGCTGCCGAGGCTCCGCATGCCGTCCGGGAGCTGGTCGTTGAAGAACTCCGTCATGGTCACGTACATGAACACCTCCGACGCCCCGATCAGCAGGTACTGCGGGATCTGCCACAGCACGCTCAGCCGGTACCGCTCCGCGTGCTTCAGCCTCTGCCGCTCCACCAGCGCCGCCGCGATCATCGCCGCCGTCGATATCACCAGCCCGATGCCCATCCTCTGCAGCTCGGTGGGCTCCTTTGAGCGCCTCGACAGCGGCTTGGCGATGCAGAACGTGTAGATGAAGACGAACGATGTCACGCCGATGATCTCGAAGATGCCGATGCCCGCGGCGGGGATCGTGAGCTTGTTGAGGGTGTTGTCCATGGCCTGTGCTTGCTCGATGAACACCGACGACATCTGCGAGTATGTGGTGGAGTAGATGATGCTGCAGAGCCATATGGGAATGAGTCGAAGGATGCATTTCACTTGCTCCACTTGGGTGACCGTGTAGAGACGCCGCGGCCTGGATGCTGGCTGCTCGCCCGGTAGAAGGATGGACGGGTCCTCGATCACCGCCGCCTTGTCCAAAAACCTGCAAAAAGCAAACACACCACATAACTATGTACATGGCAGAAACATTTGAGCAATACATACAAGGTGTAGTCCATCTTTTGTATAGAACAAGAGTGCAGTGTATATTGGGCTGGGTTACCTGTATCCTGGTGTGTGTGCAATCTTCTTGCCCCCATTGACGCTGTGAGTTCCATCCAACTCATACAGTTTTTCCACTTGGGCTGGGATGGTGAGGTGCCTCTTCTTCGTCGCAGCGACGAAGACATTTCCCACGGTCGCGGCAGGGTTCCCGCAGGGCATGAAGTGCCTGAACCTCTTGGTCCCGGCGGCGAACAGGAGGAGGCCGAGGAGAGCCGCCGCCGCCGAGATCACGAAGGCGGCCGCCCAGCTCCCCTGGTCCTCCATGTAGGTGAGAAAAGTGACGGCCACCAGGCTGCCCAGGTTGTTGGCCACGAAGAAGTAGCCGTAGAAGGCCGTCTTGGACCTCTTCTCCCTGGTGTGCTCCTCGTCGAACTGGTCGGCGCCGAACGTCGTGTTTGTGGGCTGGTAGGCTCCGTTCCCGAGCGCGATCTTGTATATGGCCGCATAGAATATCGCTATCTCCGCTGCCGATGGTGTCCTGCAGGTCTTGGTGTCACCCGATTCCGATTTGCAGCTGAAGTTGTGCAGGAAGAAATAGGAGGATATGGAGAGCTCCACCAGCCCCTGTCAATCAATCAGTACGTATGTGCATATATCAACAATGCCTGAGATCGAGCTAGCTGCCATGGAAACTAAAAAAGGAAAGTACAAGAAGAAGAAGGAGAGTAGTTACGGCGAGGAAGATGAGCTGGAAGATGATGCAGGACTTGTATCTTCCCCAGTAGGAGTCGGCGATGATGGCGCCGACGATGGAGAAGACGTAGGTGGTGCCGGACCAGTTGCTCACGTGCTTGGCGGCGTTGGCGTTGTCCAGCTGCATCACCACCCTCATGAAGGTCACCAGGTTGATGCTCACGCCGTTCACCGCCATCGTCGCGAGCGCCTGGTTTACTGCATATTATTGCATGCATCCATGAGTGACGTGCATATGTTTGTTATGCCAGGCCAAAGCCACGGTGGTTGCAGCTCTGACTTTAGTTTTGGCTATACATATACCTCCTCCAGAGCAAACAAAAAAACTACTAACAACTAATAAATATAGGGCAGATCTGCTTAGGATACCACTCCACTACTCTTGTGTGGTCATCACGTATATATAGTGAGTAATTAAGATACCGGCCGTATTTACGAAAGAAATCTCTGAATTATACCAGTACATTTATAGTACGTAGGAGAAACATATAATTTGTGCTAATTCGGTGAGAGTTTTCTTGGAATCGGGATGAATCCAATCTAAGCAAGAAGATATGTATGCTACTACTTACGCAGGATGAGGAGTCCGGCAGGCCATCCACCAGATTTGGCTCTCAGGCACGGCCTGCCGTTCCAATCCACCGACCCATCCCTCGTCGTCTCCTCGCCTTCTCCTTCCCCTTGATCTCCGGCGACCACGATAACATGGTCATGGTCTTGCCCCTGATCCCTCTCATCCTCCTGAGAAATCTGCACATATACATACATACACAAGTACATCTATCAGTCATCCATGATTGATGGTGCATCACAGGTGAACAGAAAAGAAAAGAAAAGAGGAAAGTAGTTAGGCTTGCATCCATTGTACATACATCCATGATGAAAGGGAAACTGCAGTCTTGTTTGCGCTTGCTTGCGCTTCCACACCCCTCCTCCCCTCTTCTCAAGGTCAGAGGATAGATGCACCTATATATATCTCCTGGAGTTTGTATCTATGCCTATGCGTTTGGGTGTTGATGATGTAATATGTTGGTGTGTGTTATTTATGTGTTCATGTATCTATATGCATGGCCAGCCAGGATGATACGCCAGGTAGGTGGCAGGTGTGTTGCAATGCAAAGTGCCAAACCGCATGGCGGAGGGCAGCCCTGGGCATGCAACGTGGTCTCACCCCTCTTAATTGCACTGCCAATTGTCATATCTTTTCTCATCACTAATAGTATCAAGATATATATCTCCTCTATCTCTTGTCCTGCATTTCCACAATTTAAGCGGCAGTCCGTCCTCTTCCTTTGATTTCCTTTTAGTGGTCCCGCGGTGAATACTTTCTATGTTAGGCTTATTACTTTTCACATCGGTTAATTACGTCGGTGGTGAGGAACTCCTAATCTTTGGGCATCATGTTCAAGTTATGGTGGCGACAAAGTGGGAGCGTCTCAGGGCCGACAAATAACCGACTTACTTTCTGAATGATCAATGATAGGTGTTGGTCGGCCAATTGGCGGCTTGCGGTCGGGGTGCTTTGTCGAGACGTCTAGGGTGGATAGTTTCGTAAAAGGAGATACGTAATGCACCCACACATAATAAGAACGGTCGTCATCTTGTTTTGTCGAGACGTTTGGGGTGGATTGTTTCGATAAAGGACATACATAATGCACCCACACATAATAAGAACGGTCGATCTCTCGTCATCTTGTTTTGTCGAGACGTCTGGGGTGGATAGTTTCGTAAAAGGAGATACGTAATGCACCCACA